CCCCGACCGGGACTAGAACCCGGTGTGCCGGCGCCGCTAGGCGGAGGATTAGCCTAGTGAGCCGCGGCGCCGGCCTAGAATAAGTCTTAATTCCAGTAACTTAGTCTAGTCCGAGTTGCTCCCCACAAGAACTCATTGAAAGCAACGCTCTAGGAGTTGTGCTCCTTCCCAAGGCTCTAGGCGAGGATTTGCTTCCTTGCCCTTTCCAGATTCCAGAGTTGGCTTCCTCAGCTCTTAGCTCCCTGCTCCATCTTCATGGATGGTGCAGTGTCTTCCAGCCTTTTTCTGCCCTCGCTCCACAGTGCATTCTCCTCTGTTCTGTCTGAAGACTCCCTCTGCCTCCTGCTTGTAAGGACACTTGTGATTGTGCTTAGGGCCCACTCAGATAATTTAGGATAATCCCCCCGAAGGTGTTTAACTGAGGTGACGTAGGGTTTCAGGCACTGGGGCTGATCACTTTTCAGCCTCAGTTTGCCAGCCCCACAGCTGAGCGCCAGCCAACTGTGAACACGGAAGTGACAGGAGCAACTGAGGAATCTCAGGTAGCCCAGTCAGAATTTCTGGACAGAGTCCTGGGAGGGTAATCATTGCTTTAAACCATTCTGTCTGGAGAAGTTTGTTGTGCAGCAAAAGCTAACTGACACAATGACTTTGCTTGAAGCCACTTTTTGCCCACCCTGCCACTTCAATTTGCTTTATTTTTACAACATGTTTTGTCAGAATACTAGTTCAGTAATTTCCTTAGTAATCAGAACAGCCCTTTCCATCTTCTGTTTTTGTTTCTCATCACTAAACTCATAAACCAAACGTTATTTATTTATTTATTTTTGACAGGCAGAGTGGACAGTGAGAGAGAGAGACAGAGAGAAAGGTCTTCCTTTGCCGTTGGTTCACCCTCCAATGGCCGCTACGGCCTGCACACTGCGGCTGGCGCACAATGCTGATCCGAAGCCAGGAGCCAGGTGCTTCTCCTGGTCTCCCATGGGGTGCAGGGCCCAAGCACTTGGGCCATGCTCCACTGCACTCCCTGGCCACAGCAGAGAGCTGGCCTGGAAGAGGAGCAACCGGGACAGAATCTGGTGCCCCAACAGGGACTAGAACCCGGTGTGCCGGCGCTGCAGGCGGAGGATTAGCCTATTGAGCCACGTCGCGGCCTTATAAACAAAACTTTAAAAAGTAAAACTGGGGCCATCGCTGTGGCATAGCGGGTAAAGCTGCCGCCTGCAATGCCGGTATCCCATATGGGTGCCAGTTTGAGTCCTGGGTGCTCTACTTCTGATCCAGCTCTCTGTTATGGCCTGGAAAAGCAATGGAAGATGGCCCAAATGCTTGGGCTCCTGTACCCACATGGAGACCTGGAAGAAGCTCCAGGCTTTTGGCTTCAGATCAGCCCAGTTCCAGCTGTTGCGGCCATTTGGGGAGTGAACCAGCAGTTGGAAGACCTCTCTCTCTCTCTCTCTCTCTCTCTCTCTGCCTCTCTGTAACTCTGCCTTTCAAATAAATAAATAAATCTTTTTTAAAAAGTAAAATTAATTTCATAGGCAAGATAAGAAAGTAGCAAACACTTTTCTGAAACAATCAGCTACTTATATATTTATGTGTATATGTCTATATTTTCCTCTAGCCAAATATCAAACAAACATAATTGTTTGAAAAACAAAATTGTACGTGACAGATGGTGGCAACCTGGTTATAAAAGAGATGATTTCCTAGATGTCATCATACTAGTGCCAAAAGGCTTTGTTGCTGTGCACAAGCTCATTGAACTCTCTCCAGAACCATGTGCTGGATGTTTTCAAGCCTGTATGTGTGTGTGTGTGTGTGTGTGTAGAATATGTGATTGTGGTGTGATGTATCTGTACGTGGTGTGATGTATGCTGTAGGAATATGGGGTGATGTGAGTGTGTGTATGTGCGGTATGTGCCTATGGCATGTGTGTACACATGTGTGGTTTAGTGTGGGTATGTGTATGCATGTGGTGTGTGTGTGTGGTGTGGTGTGAGTAGTGTGGAGTATAAGGTATGTATCTGCTCCTACTACTGAGTCCCCTGTCACGGGCTCCAACTTCCATCCCACACTTGACTGGCTCCAGTCAACATGGGCTATCCCACCTTTTGTTCTGGCCCAGATCCCGCTTGGGCTGGGGTTTCTGCCCTCAATCAAAGTCCAATTTGCTTCTGGTGTTTTAGGGATTCTGTTTTCTAGAGGAGTTCTGGGCCTATTATTGCAAGCATCTCCTTTGTTATTTGCAGGGGCTTCGGCAGGAGGAGGCTCAGGTGCAAGAGAGTATATAACTGTGCTACTTTTTGTGGAAGTAAGAAAAGAAAATATAGTAACATTACTATGCAGTTGTTTGTTTTTTAAAAGAAAAATCTACACCTATATAAACCTGAAACTAATGAAAATGGAGATTTTCAGGAGGTGGTAGAGACAGGGTGATTCTGTAGCCAGGCAAACCTGGCACCTACAGAGTGGTTCAAATACAGTGGCCTCCACGGCACTCAATGGACTTTTGGTTGACAGCAAAAAATACCTGTGACTCAAATTAATAAATTTGAATCTTTAAAGACATTATTCTAAGTAGATATGCAGGTCTGTAAGAAAAACTGGAAGAACCTCTTTAACTTTTGAAAGGCATGCTTTGTAAACATTTTAGATAGCCCACCACAGTTTTCTTCTCAACAGCTTCTCCACATCACCTGCTGAGTAACAAGAGTGTCATTTTATGTACAAGCAGAGGGAGTAAGTCTCACAGAATACACATAACAGAGCCATAAAAACGGACAAGGTTATTGGACCTCTTTCAGATTCCATTTTCATCACCAGAATTCCCTTGAATGGAGCAACAAAATTTGAGTCATGGAGCTTAGCGGGGAGCAGCAGGGGTGTTCAGCAATTCTCATCGAGTGAAACCTCCTTTGCCAAAAGCACACAAGTACAGGCTGCTGGGCCCAGAAGGTTGTCCTAGTGTGAGGCAGAGGCTGTTGGAGAATTCAGCATCTAGAAAGGAGAACATTCGTGTATTGGTGGAGAACTACTTTATGATTTTTACCTTAAATAAAAAATTTCCCATTATGCAATCAGCAGCTTCTCTAGATCACTTGGGAACTACAGTGATATCAGAGAGAAAGAAACTTCCCACTTCCTGCTGTCCAGAGACCACTGCCTTCCCCCTTGCCTGGCTCCACAGCATGGGCTCCTCCAGCTTAGGGCTCATCTCCGTGGCCATCTGGAGCCCCCCCATGTGCAGGGCTGAGCCCCACACTCCACGTCCATCACAATAACCCACTCTGCCCAGGTCCTCCGTGGCCATCTGGAGTCCCCCCATGTGCAGGGCTGAGCCCCACACCGCACGTCCCTCACAATAACCCACTCTGCCCAGGTCCTCTGCTTCGGCCCCTCTCCTTCCTTCTCGGCAGGGAATCTCCAAGGTCCCCCAAAGCCAGCTTTTTCAGATTCATCACACACCTCTCAACAACCCCAAGATCTTAGACCCCTCTCCTGATGACTCCAGGACTGGCACCTCAAGCTCCTGAGTGCTCCGGACTTCCTGACTAAAGTCTGGGCTCTGCCTTCAGTGAGTGGCTCTACCTCACCCTACCTCAGTTTTCCCATATGTAAATTGAGGACAATAATGTACCTCCTTCAGAAAGTCATCAGGTGGCTCAGGAAAACACAGAGAATATCCACATCATCTCCACAGTTCTGGGCATGGTGAGGCCATCACCTGGCTAATGGAACAGGTTGAGGCTCACCTCTGAGGAGAGAGAAGTTGAAGGATTGGCAGGGGACAGATCTGTATGAGTCTGCTCTGCCCAAGGCTTGACACCCTGGTTAACCTAGAATGTGGCTGTCTGTCACTTTTCCCAAGGTCTTCAGTATCCTGGCCAGAGGTAACCTTAGGGAATGGTAGGCAGATCTGTCTCCAAGAGATCCAGTGATCCCTGCCCAAGCAGCAGGCCCATTAAGGCCACTCTGTCACAGCACCCACCCTAGGGAAGTCTTCCTGGGCCAGGTAACTCATTCCTCATACCTTGTGAGCAGAATTGGTTCTAAGGGGCAGTGTTTGAGAAGAGGTATGAAGACCAGCTCCATGGGCCTGGCCTTGGTTTCATCAAAGTGAGTCTTCCTCATCCACCTCCTGGGGTTGTTGAGGAGTGAAAGACATGGGGATGAGCACTGCCAGTGGCCAGGTGGTTGTCCACCTGGGTTTTGGCCACAAGAGTCTCCACATACAAGAAAAATACATAGGGCTTGTAGGGCATTTTCATGGACCATGAACTCCGAGTGACCTGCAAGTAATTTCTCAGGTCTTGAGGTTGGAAGGAGCCTGACTCTGGGTGCAGTGGCCTGTAGACTATTGGCTGCCACAAGGGCTGGGGTCTTGCAGGACTCATCCAGGCCATATATAGCAGGAACCACTAAAATGAGAGCCTGGGAAAAGCAGAATCTCTCTAGGAAGCTGGGTTATAGTCAGTGTCTTCTGCATCACCAGACTCCCATTCAGTTTTGTTTTGGACAGGGCCTGGGAATAATGTCAATGAATTAACACCCTCTTAAACATGTAAGCATTTTGGGAAAGGCTGAAGGCCCACAGCCTTTCATACCTTTGTGCATTTCATAAACTTTGACACCCACCTAGTGCCCTTTTACCTCCTGACTTCTTACCCAGATGTCAATAGGGGAGTGAGGAGACTGAGCAAGGTTCTGGCACTGGTTGGGGCAGTGGGAGGGGCCTTGTGCTCTGGAGAAAGAAAGGGGTAGAGGTGCTGGGGTGTGTGCACAGAGATCTGTGCCCAAACTCAGCCACAGCGAAACACAGGACAGAGCCTCTCTCCCTTTCTTGTTCTCCTACTCCTGGTTCCTGAATTGGAGGAACAGCCCAGCCACAAGGTGTGTTAAATAGACTCTTGTAGGCTTGTCCCTGTAAGACATTACCTGGGGTGAGTTCCAAACAATCCATGCTCAAATGGGTATGACAGACACCAACTCATCTGACGGCTGGAGATGACTGCTCCCAACTGCATTGCTGGTCGGGTACACCTGTTAATGGGTCCCAATGAAGTCCCCTGCCTTTATTTACATTCCTGTGTACTGCCCTAGACTTTGAATTTGGTCTTGGGCAAGTGACTTGGGATGACCAGTGGGGGTTACCTGTCCAGAGGCTTGCTAAGCAGCTGCATACCACAGCTTGCCTTCTCAGAGCATGTCACCATAAAGAGATCCTGGGTCTCCTGTTGGAGAGGCCACAGGAGAGGAACTGAGGAACCCAGCTGACACCATCAAATTGCTAGACATGCTAGTGAAGCCATACCCAGCTCCAGCTGAATTGTCAAATGGCTACAGCCACATGAATGACCACATAAGCCCAGCAGAAGAACCACCCAACTGATTCCAGTCCATATTGTAGAATCATGAACAGGTAAGTGTTGCTTTAATCTACTAATTTTGAAGGTGATTTGCTATTCTGCAATATGAAACATCAGACATGTTTTGTGGACTGTGTGTTGATTCTCAGTGTTTTATTCCAGTCCACAGGGATAACCAAGTAACATGGAGAAATGTGATGTGCATATTGTTACAAGCATGTAATGTATGTGCCCTTCACATACAAGCACTTGAGCAGTTTTAGACAGTTGTGACCAGAAAATACCATAGAAGGAAAGCTCTTCACATTGACTGGCTTCAGGGTGTTCAGGCATATGCACTATTCATGTCAGTAAACACTTGGACACAGAGGAGGGCACAGAAAGACATAAAAAGCACTCCATCCAAACCATTGGCTGTTAGGCACAAGGCTGCCCATGTTCAGCTTCTGCATGAGGCTAGAGGGTCTCACTCTACTCTGCCACGGAAGGCTGCACTTCTTGGTCTGAGAAAGAAACTAAAGCATTTGTTGATGAACATTTTGTCTTTCACTCCTCTTTGTCACACTATATGGCTTTAGATGTCTCAGCATTTTGGGCTTAAGGGTCCAATGTGGCAGACTTCCACTCATAAAAAACATCACCAACCAACAGATCTTGGATTCTGCTGAAAGACGAGCACAAATGGTTTTCCTCTTTCTCCTCCACAATGCACAGGTCAGCAATTTCCACCAAGTGGAAAGAGGGCATTGGAAGAGTCCTCCAGCTGGGGTCTGTACTGGGCAAATCCTTCTGTCTTCTGTGCATTAATTCTGTGGCTTCCTTATTCATTTATACACTCATTCACACACAGAACAAATACTCACTATGCATCTCCTACGTGCCTGACTTTTGTGATACTCTTGAGTGGGTGAGGTGGGCCCAGCCAACGGGTCTTGCCTGTCTCCATGCCATACTTGATGGCATCCGGGGTCCATTTTAGCTCCTAAACAGAGTTCCCGGTTCTGCCATGTTAGGAAGGAAGTGGGGCTGAAAGCCGATTCTGAGTCCTTTACATAAGGTGGCTGGCGGTGGTGCTCAGAACTTCACCAACCTCTTTTCTTTCAAGCTTCTGTGAGACTGAGGCCCCATGTACCATTTCCAAGGGCATACTATTTTCTGGATCCTCCAAGCAACAACATCCCTCTGCCTTTTTCTCAGATTGGATACTGGCCCTCCTGCACATTGGTAATACAGATCACTCACTTATCTGGTATACAGGGTACTGGCTGAAGATGAGCCCCAAAGGACCACTCACCCCTTCTCCTGCATCCATCAGCATCTCACTGTGGTGTAAGAATCAACGTGTCCAGTGACCTCTGCCCTGCGCATCTGGGTGATCTTCATTGTGAATAGGAGGCCTCATGCACCCATAACTGGTGTGGAGCCTCAGTATGAGTTTGAACATGTGGCTGCCAAATGACATGTTTCCGGGACCCCTTCCAGGTGGACATGAGAACGTGTGGATGGTGTTATGCCCCTTATGTCACTTTCCTATGATCTCATTATTTTTAAAGAAAAGATCATTCTGATTATTTCTCCTTGAGTATAAAGTGCACTGAGTTAAAAGAAGTTGAAAAGCATATATTTGGGATCTAGTGATTACACTTTCACATAAATCTAACTATACACTTAGAAGAAGGTTAAATATTTACCCAGAAACCTGAAAGCTTAAGATACTTCAATTCTGAAGGAAACTGGCAGCAGTTAAGGCCTCAAAGCACCTCCACAGACATGGGTGTAAAACATGACACCCTTCCTAAGTCAGAATCTGGATCAAAGTGTCCTTCCTTTTGGGTCTGTAACTGAGTGCCATGCTGCTGTGCACTTTGTTTTGGTAACACTGCCATTAGAAAAATGGAAAACACTGAGACCATAATTACCCAAAGGAGAGGAAAAGGGATAGTTCAAAGACTCTAACATTGATACTTGCTGATAAAAGATGAAATTTTGGGAAGCTTTATGAGGCTAGTGAGGCATAGCAGGTTAAGCCACTGCCTGTGAGTCTGGCATCCTGTGAGGGCATTGTTTGAGTCTCAACTCCTCCACTTTCGATCCAGCTCCCTGCTAATGCACCTGGGAAATCAGTGGAAGATGGCCCAAGTACTTGGGTCCCTGTACCCGCATGGGAGATCTGGATGGTCCTGGCTTCGGCCTGGCCCAGCCCCAATCAGTTGTTGTGGCCATTTGGGGAGTGAACCAGCGGATCGAAGATTTCTCTGTCTCTCCCTCTCTTGCTCTGTTACTCTGTCTTTAAAACAAATAAATAAATCTTTTCTTTAAAAGAAATTTTGAAGAATTCAGTTCGGAATCTATTTACTTTGGTTTCAGTTAAGTCTAACAGGTCTTTCGAACTTACAGTCTTGTAGTAGATGGAAAACAAAGCATTGGGGTGAGGCATGCATGGATCTCCAGGCTGGAAGGTAACAGTAAAGGGGCAAAAACACAGCAGTGTGCAACAGGCCTCAGAACATGGCTACCAGCATGGGGGGGGGGCACTGTTAGGGGGATCCAGGAAAACAGCCCTGCATTCCTGCTTAGCTCTGAGGGCATCCCTACCATATGAAAACCTACTTCATCCAGAACTCTGTAGGTGGCAGGGGATTCTGTGATTTCCACCAAAAGCTGCATTTAGGGGAGACAGTCGGGGTTACCTGAAGACTTCACGTGTGTGGGGGAACTTGAGCCCTGATAGCACCTGGTCAATGAGAAGTGCTTACTCAGGAAGCTGCTAAGGCAGAAGAAGTGGTGATGCAAGATGAGGCGAGGCAGGGCAGGGTTGAAAGGGGTAGAAATGGATGCTGAATTCACATTCCTATGACAGATTAAAGCTCCGGGGGCCCAAAGCTGAGCTAAATTATACACAGGTGTCAAAATGGCTCAGTTAAGGCCCAGTAGGCAATAATGTGGGAGAGGGTAGCTGCTGAGTCTATCAGCTCATAACCAGACTCCTCCTAGGGGGAATCCCTGGCTTCAGGTGACCAGCAGTGACGGTGATCTGCTGCATTCCCTCCACGTGTCCCTGTTGAAGCCCCACAGCACTTACTTGAGCCCAGGTCTAGCTGGCCAGCTCCATCATCCTTTCCTACACTGGCAGGCTAGGCAGAGGCCCTGACATATCCAGATTTGTTGGCAGCTATGCACTTGGTTGGTGTGGTGGAACATTCCTCCCTGAGGGCTCCGGAACTCCACCTGCCAGCACCTACATGGAGTTGGATGCCCTGCATGGATATGAATGGCTGGGTAGGGCTGGGAGGGCAGGGTCAGACTGGTGGCCCCCATGGCCTATCTTTGGTCCATCATACAGGCTCTGTTGGGCACTGTGACAGCCACCACCTGTGTTGGGAGAGCCACTGTTGGAGTCAGGGGAGGGGAAGGGAATTGGCTGAGGGGCTTGGGCAGTGGAGTCTCTCAGGCAGCCAGGTGGGAGCTGGACATTTGTAACCCCTTTACTCACCTGCCCACAGAGCTCCTGGGTCAGCTCTACCTGCACCCACTGCTGCTGCTTGGTGGCAGGGCCAGGTCTTGGACTATAAAATCCCTGTGTAGCTGAGGGTCCATGTGGTTGTGCCTGAGAAGGACAGGCAGGGGCCCTGGGAAGCTGCCTCATCCCCAGGGAATGGGGTGGGTACTCCTGACTTCCTGTTGTCTCCTCTGCTGCTGTGTGCACAGATAGGGGCTGATTCCTATACCCACTGGGAGGAGAGCTACTATCTAGCTCAGCCCTTGGAAGGCACGGGCTGACCACCCTCAGGTGGCTGAAAGGATCAGGTTGGTTCTGTCCTGCTGCCATTTCCATAGGGACCATATCTGGAGGGACTTGGATAGGGCAATCCCAAATGCTGTCCAAGGAGTGGCTGCCACATGATCTGATACAGGTGAGGTCTGAAGTGCTCAAGGGTTCCTGACATTGACCAGTGTGGGGTGCAATCCAGGGAATAGATTCTTTGCAAAAATCCAGAACACCAGGACCTGTCTGAGCCAGGTGACCAGGGACATTTTCTCCTAAAGAGAGTGAAGGTATGCAGCTTGGCTGAAGTACCTGGGCCATCTGTCTGGGGCTAGAGGTCTCAGGCAGTGAGTTGTCACATATTGTTGATTTCTGGCATATCCTGATGGTTACAGGTGCTGCCTGGCTATGCCAAGGCCCCCACTGTGGAGGGCTCTGGAGGGGCCTCTGGACTGTGGGGCCAGGGTGAGTGGGACCAGTGGTGACAGAATTATGGGGAAGTGCTTGAACAGAATTGGGCACTGTGGCCAGATTCTGTGGTGGAGTCACTTCTGTGGCCAGCTGGCCTGAACTCTGAGAAAATGGGGACTTCAGGGTCTGTGAAGACATGCTGGTTGGTGGTGGCGGGCTGACGTTCCCAAGGTCATGAAAAAGGGCTTCCTTCTCCTTGAGGCAGCCCCACCCCAGACTGGTCCCTGCAGGGTCCAAGTCAGCTCTGAGAAGGTTTTCTTCCCACAAATGCTGGTTGAAGTCGGTGACCCCCAGGTGCTGGAGGGTGGAGCAGAGGTCAGGCTGTTCTTCCCTGTCCTTCCCAAGCAGGGTATCGATGAGGGTCAGGAGGGAGCTGCCCTCTTCCTCCTCTTTGGCTTCCTTGTCCTCATGTCTGCCATCAGACCCCTGCCTCTCCAAGGATGAGCTCTGAGGAGCTTGGTTAATGCAGGACAAGTGCATGGATTCGTCTTGCTCCATCGTGGCTCCAAGGAGAGAGCCTGGACACACCTGGACAGTTGGCGAACCCTTCCTTGCCTTAGTCTTCCTCCTGGCTGGGAGGGTGGTCAGGGCATTCGGGAGACTGCTCTCATACAGGATGGCCTCACCTGTGATGAAGGTGAATGGCAATCGCAGGGTCCGCGTGTGCAGGTGCTCCTCTCCCTCTGAGTTCCTGTGGTTAAGGAAACACAAGACCATATCTGTGAATGGCTACCCAAGTGGAAAGGGGGTCTTCTGTTTATCCAGGGGCTGAACAAGTGAACAGGAGCAGCACACCACTTGTTCTGGCTTTTCTAGCCAAGAAAGAAAAATAAAATCCTGTTATTGAACTTGCTTTTCTCTTGCCTTTTTTGGAGTACAAATTCTTGCTCAATACTTTTTAATTTGGGGTTCTGAAATAGTCTCAGATAAAATTGCTTATTCGTGGGAGAAACAGTCCAAAAATCCATGTAGAAATTCCCTAAACATCTTTTACTTTACAAAGAATAAGTCATTGGAAATGATATAAGCAATCAACCATTTGTTACTGGGGGAATAATTTCTCCATCCTTCTCCCCTTTACAATATACCCACAGGACACGGCCATTATCAAGCTGTCCTGACAGTCACTGACACCATGTCCAGCAAGGAAAGAAGCTTCCTTTACTGTCCTAACCTCACTTGGGCTTAGAGCTCCACAAAGGAAAAAAGACTGAAGTAAAATAAGGTGTCAGGCAGAAGCTGATTAGGATGGTGTGGGCATGGGAAACCCTATCCCTGGAGAGACTCTAACTGTAACCCTAACCCTAACCCTCACCCTCCACCCAACCCCAACCCTCACCCTAACCCTGACCCTAATCTTCACCTTCCACCCAACTCCAACCCTTACCCTAACCCTAACATTAACTCCAACCACAACCACAACCCTCATTCTATCCGTAATATTGACTCCAACCCCAACCACAATCCTAACCCCAATCCTCACCCTCACCCCAACCCAACCCTCACCCTCACCCTAACTCCATTGCCAACCTTAACCCTAACCCTAACCCTCACCCCAAATCCAGCCCTCACCCTAACATTAACCCCACCATAACCCCAACCCTCTCCCTTACCCCAAACCAACAATGCTCATCCTAACCCCTATTCCAACCCTCACCCCAACCTCAACTCCAACCCCAACCCTCACCTTAATTCCAACTCCAACTCCAACCCTAATGCCAACCTTAACCCTCAGCCTTACCAGATTATCTCTGGTCATCCGTTGTCTTCAAGTCTACGTGTCTTCTATTAACGCAGCCACTCTGCCCTTACTGTGCTTACTGTTTTATTACATATCTATTTCACATCTAATTACTTTCAAACTATTGTGTCATTTAAAAATGTGTTTCTTATAGAAGGTATTTATTTGAATCATTTTTAACATTTTTTAAAATTTATTTTTAAACGAATACAAATTTCAAAAGTACAACTTTAGGAATATAGTTATTTTTCCCACCATATCTGCCCTCTCATCCACACTCTCACCCCTCCTCCTCCTCCCTCTACCCCTGCCAGTCCCATTTTCCATTAAGATTCATTTTTAATTAACTTTGTAAGCAGAAGACCAACTCTATAATAAGTAAAGATTTCAACAATTTGTGTGCATGCACACACACACACACACACACCCCCAAAAAACTGAGAACTAGTTTTACAGTTACCTCTCATAAAACAACTCATTGAGGACAGAGGTCCTGCATGGGGAGTTAGTGCACAGTGACTCCTGTTGCTAATTGAATAATTAACACTCTTACGTATGACGTCAGTGACCACCTGAGGCTCTTGACATGAGCTGCCTAGGCTATGGAAGCCTTTTGAGTCCATGAACTCCTTCAGTATTTGGACAAGGCCATAAGCAAAGTAGAAGTCCTCTCCTCCCTTTAGAACAAAGTACATCCTTCTTTGATGGCCCCTTCTTTCCACTGGGGTCTCACAGAGATCCTTCATGTAGAGCATTTTTTTGCCACATTGTCTTGGCTTTCCATGCCTGAAATGCTCTCACTGGATTTTCAGCCAGACCAGAAAGCCTTAAGGGCTGATTCTGAGGTCAGAGTGTTACTTAAAATGATTGTCAATCTATGAGTCTGCTGTGTGGACTGCTCCCTATGTTGGAACATTCTCTCCTTTATAATACTATTATTATTACCATGCACTTGATCCTATTTATATGATCACTTTAACACTTATTACTATCTATATATTCACTTTAACACATATGATCACTTTAACAATTAAGATGGCATTTTTACCGCCACGCTTAATGAGATTTAGAGTCCTATGACAAGCTTTTAAACTGTACCCTTAGAAGTAATCTGTAGGAAAGTATGCAGAACTATACAACTTTACAGTTACAAACTTCCTCCACCCTCTTTTATTCCCACTCTTATTTTTTACTAAGATGTATTTTTTCTGATTTTTTTCAGATTTATTTTTTATTTGAAATTCAGAGTTACACAGAAAGAGAAGGAGAGGCAGAAAGAGAGGTCTTCCATCCACTGGTTCACTCCCCAATTGGTCGCAATGGTCAGAGCTGCACTGATCTGAAGTTAGGAGCCAGGAGCTTCTTCCAGGTCTCCCACACAGGTGCAGGGGCCCAAAGACTTGGGCCATCCTCCACTGCTTTCTTAGGCCACAGCAGAGAGCTGGATCAGAAGTGGAGCAGCTGGGACTAGAACTGGCACCCATATGGGATGCCGGCACTGCAAGCGGCAGCTTTACCTGCTATGCCACGGCACCGACCCCTGAGATCTATTTTCAATTTACATTGCGTTCAACAAATAGTATAAAGAAAAACAAAAACAGGCCGGCGCCGCGGCTCACTAGGCTAATCCTCCGCCTAGCGGCGCCGGCACACCGGGTTCTAGTCCCGGTCGGGGCGCCGGATTCTGTCCCGGTTGCCCCTCTTCCAGGCCAGCCCTCTGCTGTGGCCAGGGAGTGCAGTGGAGGATGGCCCAGGTGCTTGGGCCCTGCACCCCATGGGAGACCAGGAAAAAGCACCTGGCTCCTGGCTCCTGCCATCGGATCAGCGCGGTGCGCCGGCCGCAGCGCGCCGGCCGCGGCGGCCATTGGAGGGTGAACCAACGGCAAAAGGAAGACCTTTCTCTCTGTCTCTCTCTCTCACTGTCCACTCTGCCTGTCAAAAAAAAAAAAAAAAAAGAAAGAAAAACAAAAACAAAAAAAACCAAAACAACAAAAACTGTTCCTTGACAGTTAAGACAAGGGCAGTTCAAATCATCCCTTTTCAAAGTGTCAATTTTACTCACACAGCTTTCATTTTAGTTGCTCTAATAGTTCTCACAGATCAGGGAGAACATATGATATTTGTCCCTTTCGGCCACGCTTATTTCCCTAAGTGTGGTGTTTCCAGTTTCATCCATTTTTGTTGCAAGTGACTGGATTTCCTTTTTTTTTACAGCTGCATAGTATTCCATAGTGTACATTTCCCATAATTTCTTTATTCAGTCTTCAGTTAATGGGCATTTAGGTTGATTCCATGTCTCAGCTATTGTGAATTGAGCTGCAATAAACATGGAGGTACAGTTAACCCTTTTGTTTACTGATACCATTTCCCTTGGTTAAATTCCTAGGAATGGGATAGCTGGGTCAAAAGGTGGGTCTATATTCAGATTTTTGAGACATCTCCATACTTTCTTTCCATAGTGGTTTTTCCAGTTTACATTCCCACCAACAGTGGATTAAGGTACCTTTTTCCCCACATCCTCTCCAGCATTTGTTGTTTGTTGATTCCTGTATGAAAGCCATTCTAAATGGGATGAGGTAAAACTTAATTGTGGCTTTGATTTGCTGTTCCCTGACAGCTAGTCATCCTGAACATTTTTTCATGTGTCTGTTGACCATTTGGATTTCCTCTTTTGAAAAATGTCTGGGGGCCGGCGCCATGGCTCAATTGGCTAATTCTCTGCCTTGGCGCCAGCACCCTGGGTTCTAGTCCCGGTTGGGGCGTCGGGTACTAGTCCCGGTTGCTCCTCTTCCAGTTCAGCTCTCTGCTGTGGCCCGGGAGGGCAGTGGAGGATGACCCAAGTGCTTGGGTCCCTGCAACTGCATGGGAGACTGGGAGGAAGCACCCAGCTCCTGGTTCGGATCAGCAGAGCGCCGGCCATAGCGGCCATTAGGGGAGTGAACCAATGGAAGGAAGACCTTTCTGTCTCTCTCTGTCTATAACTCTCTCTGTCTCTCTATAACTCTGCATGTCAAAAAAAAAAAATGTCTGGGTGCTGGTGCTGTGGCTCACTTGGTTAATCCTCTGCCTGCGGCACCGGCATCCCATATCGGCGCTGGGTTCTAGTCCCAGTTGCTCCTCTCCCAGTCCAGCTCTCTGCTGTGGCCCGAGAGGGCAGTGGAGGATGGCCCAAATGCTTGGGCCCCTGCACCTGCATGGAAGACCAGGAGGAAGCACCTGGCTCCTGCCTTTGGATCGGCATAGCTCTGGCCATAGCAGCCATTTGGGGGGTGAACCAAAGGAGGGAAGCCCTTTCTCTCTGTCTCTCACTCTCACTAACTTTATCTGTCAAATAAAAAAAAATTTTAAAAAAAGAAAAATGTCTGTTTAAGTCCTTGGTCCCTCTCTTAACTGGGTTGTTTGTTTTGTTGTTGTAGAGTTTTTTGATCTCTGTATATTCTGATTATTAACCCTGTATCAACTGCATAGTTTGCAAATAATTTCTCCCATTCTGTTGGTTGGCTCTTCAATTTCATTGAGTGCTTCTTTTGCTATACAGATACTTCTCAATTTGATATAATCCCATTTGTTAATTTTGGCTTTGGCTGCCTGTGCCTCTGGGGTCTTTTCCAAAAAGTCTTTGCCTGTGCCAATATCTTCCAGGGTTTCTACGATGTCCTCTAATAATTTGATGGTGTCAGTTCATAGATTTAGATCTTTAATCCATTTTGAGTAGATTTTTGTTTAAGGTGTAAGGTATGGTTCTTGCTTTATAGTCTTGCATGTGGATATCCAGTTATCCAACACTATTTGTTGAAGAGACTGTCCTTGCTCCAGAGATTGGTTTTAGCTCCTTGGTCAAATGCAAGTTGGTTGTAGATGTTTGGATTGATTCCTTGTGTTTCTATTCCATTGGTCTATCAATCTATTTTTGTATCAGTACCAGGCTGTTTTGATTATAACTGCCTGGT